GGAAGTGACGTAAAGGACATATTTTGATGATATAGTAGATTTTCCCCGAGATTTTCAACAACTTTGCTTCTTTGATGTATAACAAATTCTCAATACTTTTTGAGATATCTGGAAAAAACTATTGGCCCCTCTAGATCCCTAAATTTAGGGGTCAGCCCTTTTTCCATGATATCATTTGAAAGATCTTCTAATTCTGCACAAATTATGTTCTATATATTTTAACAAAATATTTTTAGTTTAGAAGATAAAAAGCAAAATATGAGTAATTTTTGGCTCTTTTAAGCGTTCTAATTTTTGACCCCTATATAGCGCCATTTTGAATAAAGAAATCGAAAAACAAAAACCGATGTGCACAACTTCAATCCTTCTATTATCTAAAATCAGTAGAATTTCTGCTCCAGCTTTAGCCGTCTCTGAGCCTTTATCTGGAAACGAAAGCCTATAAATATTTGTTTAAAGGGAAATAACTCAAAACCGGAAGTGACTTGTTGAAATTTAAGAAAGCATTCTCATAGAGTTTAGTAACTTCTAGTACCTCTGAAAATTTGAGCGAAATCAATTGAGAAATGAGTGAGATATGAGGCTTCAAAGTTGGGGTCTAGGAAGTAGAAGAAAAAAAAAGAATAATAATCTTTACCAACAGAATCAGTAGAAGGTCTTCCGTTGGAAACGGAAGACCTTAAATATACTAATCTAACATGACATTAAAAAAGACATGATATACCTATATTTTCCAAACCAGTTTCCCATGATGGCTACCACCGTTGGCCAACCCATGGACTGTAGCAGGCCATTCAGAATCCAGACGATCACGTAGACGTATTTGTTGTAGAAGTGTGCCCACTCAAATACCACTCCAAAGAGAAACACCTATTGCATATACATGTACATTGTTATATACAACATTCATTAAACAAGAGGCCCAGGGGCCACAGCGCTCACCTGAGCACAGTGGGCTTGAATTTAACCCCCCCCAGGCGTTCATCATTTAAACAAACTAGAATCTACACTATCTGAGGATGATTCCACATAAATAACACTAATCATAGCTTTGAAGTGCTTGAAAAGAAGATTTTAAAAGGTTTCCAGATATATCCCTATGTAAAGCTTGGGTGGGCCATTTTGGCCCCTCCCTAGCCCCAGGGGTCATGATTTGAACAAACTTGAATCTACACTACCTGAGGATGATTCCACATGATTTTCGTCTTTCCTGGCCCAGTGGTTCTGGAGAAGAAGATTTTTAAAGATTTTTCCTATATATTCCTATGTAAAACTTAGGTCGGCCATTTTGGCCCCACCCTAGCCCTGGGGGTCATCATTTGAACAAATTTGAATCTACACTACCTGAGGATGATTCCACATGAATTTCATCTTTCCTGGCCCAGTGGTTCTGGAGAAGAAGATTTTTTAAGGATTTTTCCTATATATATTCCTATGTTAAACTTGGGTGGCCATTTTGGCCCCATCCTAGCCCCGGGGGTATCATTAACAAATTTGAATCTGCACTACCTGAGGATGATTCCACCTGAGTTTCATCTTTCCTGGCCCAGTGGTTCTGGAGAAGAAGATTTTTAAAGATTTGTCCTATATATTCCTATGTAAAACTTAGGTCAGCCATTTTGGCCCCATCCTAGCCCCTGGGGTCATGATTTGAACAAACTTGAATCTACACTACCTGAGGATGATTCCACATGAGTTTCATCTTTCCTGGCCCAGTGGTTCTTGAGAAGAAGATTTTTAAAGATTTTTCCTATATATTCCTATGTAAAACTTGGGTCGGCCATTTTGGCCCCTCCCTTGCCCCTGGGGTCATGATTTGAACAAACTTGAATCTACACTACCTGAGGATGATTCCACATGAGTTTCATCTTTCCTGGCCCAGTGGTTCTGGAGAAGAAGATTTTTAAAGATTTTTCCTATATATTCCTATGTAAAACTTGGGTCGGCCATTTTTAGGGCTGTGTATTGAGCCAAAAATTTCGATACGATACGATACAAGATTTTTTAAAGCGATATGCGATATATTGGATTCTGAAACAAGTCCATCAGAAAAGGCTTCTAAATCATTTTAATGCATACATTTCATATCAGTTAAGTGTTTTATTACCCATTTTAAAGTTCTTGTCTCATTGTCTTTAAAAATAACACTTCAATTAAAAGTTTTGATAACAGTAAAATCAACATGTTAAAAAAAAATTTTCTTTGTATTTTGTAACAATTATAAAAACTGTTATTTCCTTAAAAATTATACAATTATTGAAGGTTTTAATTCAAAAAATAAAATAGAATCTTTGGTGTTTGAAATTCCCATCTTTTAAACAGAATTTGAAGAAAAAATGTCTGTCCGATACGTATTGGAAGTTACTTTTCGATACGATATTTTTCTTGAATATCGATACGTATCGATATATCGATATATTGATACAGCCCTAGCCATTTTGGCCCCACCCTTGCCCCCGGGGTTATGATTTAAACAAACTTGAATCTACACTACCTGAGGATGATTCCACATAAGTTTCACCTTTCCTGGCCCAGTGGTTCTTGAGAAGAAGATTTTTTAAAAATGCCATTAATTTTTCTCTAATTCATAATTATCTCCCCTTGGAAAAGGGCGTGGCCCTTCATTTGAACAAACTTGATTCCCCTTCACCCAAGGATACTTTGTGCCAAGTTTGGTTAAAATTGGCCCAGTGGTTCTTGAGAAGAAGATGAAAATGTTAAAAGTTTACGACAACGAAGACGACAACGACAACGACTACGACAACGACAGACAACTGACAAATTTTGATCAGAAAAGCTCACTTGAGCCTTCGGCTCAGGTGAGCTAAAAATCAATAGAATACTTTTGTCATCGAAAAATGTCAGCTAAAAAAATGGTAAGGCAAGTGTATGAAATTCAGTCAGAAAGAGGGTATGATTTTTCTCATAGAAGATTCAAAGTAAAGGCTTTAATAAAAGGGATTTTTAAAATATTTGATTACATGCATGCCCTGGAAAAGGGAATGGGGTGGGGATTTTTACAATAAGGTGAGAAGCTTATAACTTGTTGTTATCGGTATATTATATGCATAGATTTTGAAAGCAAAATGACCCAATAAAAATCATTTTCTTGGCTATATCAGTGTATTTGTTTTATTATAGAAGTTTGTAAAAATTATTTTATGCTTTCAATAAGTGTGCTAACTTAAAGTCATTAAATACATAAATATATTGGCATTCTGTCTATTAAAATTGGTAGAAATCTGTTGTCCAACTTAAAAAAAAACTCTGAACATAGTAGATTCAAAAGTTAAGCATCAGTATTTCACACCGATAAGAGAAAATGGATAGCAATTATGAATAGTTGACTTCAAAAAATTGTAATAGATATTGATGAATTTAACGTAATCTTACTGTGACTGCTGATGAACACATTCCAAAAGAGAGCACCAACCGCATGTTGAATCTAAAAATGGATCAAAGTCACTCACATCAATTTCCCTTCCATGAATTTGAAAGTACAATTTTAGTAAAATCTATTTTAGAAAAAAATGGCTTGAATCCAATACCGGTAAATTAATTCTATAAGACCTTGATCATGTGGATATTCAAGTTTCATATGTACTCCGTACAAATTGAGACGTTCATTGTTTATTTTTCCGTCCATGTATGCAAATATATTATGATGATATCTCTGAGCAATTTATTCTTGTGTATAAACTTACCTATCTCCAATCATTCCACTTATATAGAGACCCTACAAAGATATAGCCAGGGGATAAATTATATAACATACCATATTAAATGAATGTTTAAAGAAATAAGAGAACATGAGGCTTCACCTCAATCAATATTGATATTTTTCTGGTGAATAACAGAACCATATTCAACACCAAAAGAGTCTGTAATTGTATAATGTCTAGAGTAAAATGAAATGCCTTGAGACCCCCAAGCAATTTTCTGTGCATGTAAAAGGCAGCTAGAGAACAGTAATTAGTATTAAGCATTGCTCCTCAGAAATTTTCCAGAATCATACAGTTACTGTTGAAAACAATATTGAATGTTTTTATACAGGAGTTGTATTATATGTGGCTGTGTATTTTAATTTCAAGAGGGCCCACAGGCCTTATAGGTCCCTGGTTCATGTACCGGGTAACATTTTTCCAGCAATTGAATTTGGTTCGTGTTTTAAACAAAAAGCCATGAAATTCACAATTTTGAAAGAGGGACCATTGTTTATCATAATTATACACTTAACATGCTATCTTTGGTTCTTAAAACCCAGAGGTAGATCAGAGTAACAAAGAGAAAAAAATTTCCACTTTATAACCATGCACCAGTTGTGAACACTGCCCTACAGGAACCACTAACCCTAGAGCCCATATTTCAAATTTTATCATAAATTTTATTTTATCATAAATGATTGATTAATACCAAAGAGCAGATTTCAAAGCACTGATTTACTTTCAGACTAAGTACCCCACCCCCACCCGTGACCCCCCAAGTACCCCTGACCCAGGGGCCCTGAAATTAATCAGTTTGGAAAAGGAACCTTTCTTCATCAAAAATATGTACTTAGATCACTGGCATAATATCTACGAGCAAAGGAATAGATTTTCAAAGAATTTATGCATTTTCACTATATAATCAATAGATCCCCGTCCTAACACCAGAACTCCCGACCCAGGGGCCATGAAATTCATTTTGGAAAAGACATTCCTGCTAATCATAACTTTGTACTTGGTTAGATTATTTAATACCCAGAAAGTAGAAAAGAAAATATTCAAAGAATTTATGCATTTTCACTGTATAATCAATAGTACCCCATCCTAACACCAGAATCCCTGACCCTGGGGCCATGAAATTCACAATTTTGGTAGAGGCACTCTTGCTCATCAGAACTATGTACTTGGTTAGTTTATTTAATGCCCAGGAGCAGAAAAGAAGATTTTCAAAGAAATAATGCATTTTCACAATATAATCTATATATCCTCGTCCTAACTCCAGAACCCCTGACCCTGGGGTCATGAAATTCATTTTGGAAAAGACATTCCTGCTAATCATAACTTTGTACTTGGTTAGATTATTTAATACCCAGAAAGTAGAGAAGAAAATATTCAAAGAATTTATGCATTTTCACTGTATAATAAATAGTACCCCATCCTAACACCAGAATCCCTGACCCTGGGGCCATAAAATTCACAATTTTGGTTGTCAGCACTCTATGCTCATCATAACTATGTAATTGGTTAGTTTATTTAATGCTCAGGAGCTTAGAAGATTTCAAAGAAATAATGCATTTTCACAATGTAATCTATATATCCTCGTCCTAACTCCAGAACCCCTGACCCTGGGGTCATGAAATTCACAATTTTGGAAGAGATACTCTTGCTCATCATAACTATACATTAACTTTGTTTGCTTAATACCCAGGAGCAGAGAAGAAGATTTTCAAAGAATTTATGTATTTTCAATATATAACCTATATAGTCTAGCCCTAGCATTAGAGCCCCTGACCCTGGGGCCATGAAATCACAATTTTGGTAGAGGACTCAATGCTTATTATAATCATGCCAACAGTTTGACTGCCTGATGTCCAGGGGTAACAAAGAAGATTTTTAAAGATTGCATTAATTTAAGTGGTTCTGGCCTTGCCCCTCACCCCCCAGGGGGGCAGGGGCCATGAATTTCATAATTTTTGTTCCCTTCACCCATAGATGTTATATGCAAAAATGGGTTGAAATTGGCTCATTGGCTCTAGCTATAGAAAAGAAGCTGAAAATGTTTAAAAGTTTATGACAGCTTGCCGTCAAGTTGCCGATGAACGACGACGGACAAAAACAGATAGAATAGGTCACCTGAGTGACTCAGGTAACCTAAAAATGCATTGAAAAAATTTCAGTCTACGAAAGTAAAATTAAAAAAAAAATTACCACAGCATATGAAATCATGAACACAGCATCTAGAATTCCTAAGTATGGTTCCGCATCTTTTCTTGTGTCAAACAAATGACGGGTGTTCCAAATCTGGGGGGAAAGATACTCATTTCATCTAATATATTATACATGTGTAAATCCTTAATCAGGGCTCCCACTGGACCGAAAATATTTTCGCCACTTTCTGCGACAAAAGGAAAAGCATACTTACATCTGAGTTCTCGACAATGCAATGCACTTTATGTTATTCAATTTTTTTTTTTTTTATCACAGACATTGATTTAAAATTGTACCTATGATAGTAACCATTTAAAAAAAATGTTGGAATTATAAAATTAATTTGATATTGAATTGATATCAGTCAACTCTTAACAGAAAATGTCCTCTTGTGTATATTTTTTTTTTGCCTGGGAAGGGGATGGGGGGGGGTTTGGCTACAGACCTAGAAAACATATACATTTGTATGACATTTTTTAAAAATGGAAATTTTCATCATTATATTAATTAAGAAAAATGAGGAAAGAAGTATAATTAAAAAGTAAATGAAAATTAGGTTTAAAAATTGACTTTATTTTAACAACTTGGAGACTTCAGGGTTTAATATGCAAGCTCATTTAATTGTAAATAATTCAGTGTAATTTACTAAGATAATTTTGTTTCCAAACCAATTTCTTTTTCACTCTTTGTCAGTTTATGGTATAATGTGCATATTTTTCAATTTTTAATAGGTAAAATTTGAAGCCATTCTTTACAATTTTCGTCATGTTTGACCCTACTTACGGTTAAAAAAAACGATCTACATAGATCCAGATTTTGTTGATAAAAATCTTTTATTTACTAACTTCATCTCCTAACAACACTTTATCCCCCCTTGTTAGTCCAAATTTATTATTTCAAGCAATTTTGTAACCCTTTATTGCTCCAGGCTAGTTACCTAGTCAGCTGTGTTCGTTCAAGCGAGACGTGATTTCCTACATGTAGGTTTCAGTTTTCACACCTCTTTTGCATTAAATAAACAAGGGGACTTATCCGTGTACACTGAATAAACAAAGGAGCTAACCAGGACTATACACAAATTTTGTACATGGTACATCTAAAAAAATTCATTTTCGCCACTTATGAATTTCTTTTCGCCACTTTTGAAAAAAATTCGCAATTGGCGACAATGGCGAATCACGCTCGAGCACTGATCCTGTTTACAACTAAAACTCTAGGTCTTTGACCATGGCCAACACTTACATCTGTAAACACACAGTGTAAAAATATACTATAGACAGAATTCTGTATCATACAACATTTCAAAGACAAATTGAATTAGGCAAGATTTAAGAATACAGAACAACATCTGGAAGTGCCAAGTTACACTTTACTAACCCTGTCAGGCCTGGTGAAGTTAATGGTGTTGTTGTGATAAGATGGACTCCACTCATCAGATATTGTAGATTTAACATTTCTGAATGTTTTCCTTGTTGCATGAAAGAATGCGTAGCTGAAATAATGTATGCATACAGTTAAAATATCTATTACTGAATACCTTTTAAAAACTAATATAAGTAATAAAACCCAATTCAAGAACATGTAGAATTAGATAACAAAAAAGCTTATCATTAATTAGACAAATTGCCGTGTCTTTTATCTTATCACAATTCCTTGGTTCTTAAATCCAATCAATGATTACAGAAAACCAATAATTACTTCTGGGGAAATTTCATTTTAATCAGTATTATTGATATATATTATTTGACATTTATATTTTACATATTCACTAATCAAAGGATTCGGATATGCTTTTCAGTACTCTCCTCATGAACCCTTGGCAAATGGTGCAGTAAAAATAAGGGATTGTTTTCGTCATGTGATCTGAATCTACCTGAGGTAATTTCACATTTAAGAAAAAAGTATGAAAAAAGCTAAATCAAGCTATTCTGAGTAGCTCAATAAGCCTACTAGCTGAATAAAGACTTAAATTGTAAATTGTACTGGACCTGTACAATCAGGTAATTCAAACTAATGCTTAAATATGCTGATTGTATGGTCCTTTTAGTTCATCAGCTCATTACTTCCTTCATCCCCCCAAGAAATCAAATGTGCGGCTTTTTAAAATAAATATACATGTACGATACCTTAAAAATGTAAGCAGAAACACTGCAACATGGTGATGAGTATACTTCGTCATATTAAGCAAACTTCAAATGAAAATACACTCAGTTTTTTTCACATTCAAACGGCATTATAAGGCCCTGTATGTTTACATACACTGGTGTAAATAATTAAGCGATTAAAAAATGATAATCTATAAAATCCTAGTTGCTTTTTTTATTTCATTTTTAGCTTCTGACCATCGTAATTTTAAAATAAATCGTGAAAGTGTCTTATGACTCAAAGAGAAATAAAAACAGGAAGTTATACAAAAAGCGACTCTTACATTGAAGAGTTTTATTTTAGACTGGCAGATTTACCCAAATGGACCCAAATGAACCCAAACGAACCCAAATGGACTTAAGGACAGACGAGACGTTCCTTAATAATAGATAAATTTTTCTAAGAGTTTGTCATAGAAGTATAGCTACTTTAACATGTTTACTCACAAAAAATTGAGGTACCTTACCAGGCATTTCTGAAAGATATCAGGGGTAGTTTTTCTTATATAATCCTTTGGGGAAGAAAAATAATTTTCCAATTTCAAATTTTAAAGTGTTTGGATTTTTTAAAAACGTTTAGAAACTGATTTAGAAATCAGAATGTTATCAAAATTTTGAATATTTTTCATACATTACAAAGATATACAAAACAGATTTTGAGGAACGTCTCGTCTGACCTTAATTGGCGACCCAAATGGACTTAATTATGATAAAATAGTAATAAATTAATTTCATCTATAGGATTTAGCATCGATTTTGAAAGTATGTGTGTGTGTGTGGGGGGGGGGGACCGGCCTTTCAATGAACATTTCAATATAGTAAAAAGTTATGTCTGGAAAATAGTAGGGGGAACAACCCCCCCCCCCGGCCCCTCTGTAACTAAGTGCCTGATTGACTTAAAAAGAATATAACTTTCTGAAATTTTCCGATTGGGAAAATCTTATACATTTGTATTTTAGAATAATTTGCTTAGATGTAATGAATAAAGTACAAGTTTTTTTTCGATACAATAATTGAATGTTTGTAATGAACACAAAACACATTCAGCAGCATTTATTTCATTTATTCTGAATATTCAACAATATTTATATCTAAATGCAAAAATAAATAATTGCGTGGACCCTGAGGTCCACGCAGTAAGTAGAATAGAATAGAATAGAATATCATTTATTTCCAATTTTGGGCCCATGAAGGGCATTCAAGAAAAATACAACATAAATAAAATATAAAGCTAAAGAGAGGAAGAGATCCAAATGATAGTTGAATTCATATGCAACAATGAATATGTATAATATATGATAAAAGTACACAAACGCAAACATTATGCCACATCATGCATAAATTTTAGTGAATATCTACCTGCATGTTATATCATTCTCGACTTTCAGGAACATCCTGAGACAACATTGGATCTTTTATTGTAACATTTAAATATATACTCTGCAAAACTATTTATTATATCACTACTTTCATTTGACATTAGCCATATAAATTTATTTCTATTTGAAAGTGAGGAGAAATTTTTATTTTCTTCACTTATATGATTAATGAATACTTGCCTATATAGTTTATAAGTTGAACATTCAAATATAAAATGGATTTCATCTTCTACAGAGTCTGAAGCACAAAGTTTACACTTTCGATCCGTGGCAGGCTTATTTCTGTATCTGCCAGTTTCAAATTCAAGCTTATGTGAACTAATGCGGAAGTTTGTAAAACATTTAAGAACTTCTGGTTTTGATATCATAGAAAAATATTTTTCTTTTATTAGTCTTGTTTTGTATAATCCATATGTTCAAAGTTTGCCTTTTTCATTTCTAACACACTCTGATAAATTATTTTGCCATATATTAGTAAATCTTCTATTTAGTTCATTATAAACTATTGATGGAAGGTTTTCAGCCAAGATGTTGTCACAGGATATTCCTAATTGTTCCAGCATAAAACGAATACTACTCAACCAACAGCTCTTACTATTATTATTCAATATTATATTTTCTTGTAGTGCACTTGCTAGTAAAGTACTATCTGATTTATAAATATGTTGCAAATATTTGATACAATTATACAAGATTTCAATATACAATGGATGTCTGCCTAATTCACCCATAACAGCATGGTTAGAAGCTTTCTTGTGAACCCCACAAATATATTTTAGAGCTTTGATATGTAGTTTATCACTAAATAACTTTTTAAAGGAATTTTCTATTTCATAATTTGTCCTTTTAACAACTGCAGATTCTGTGTTTATAGTGCCCCAAATCTCACTTCCATATAAAACAACAGGTTTTACAGTATGATCAAAAAGATGTAACAAGATATTTGCATTTGGTTTGGTATTACCAAAACATTTTACCAATTTAAAGAAAGCTTTCAAACCACGCTTATATAAATCATACTGACATTGAGCAAATGAACCAGATGCATCGAATAAAACCCCTAGATACTTATATGACAATGTACACTCAATTTCATGACCTTTATATATAAAATGTAAATTTGCGAGTCGTGCATTTTTGTAAAAGATTACAACTTTTGTTTTCTTCAAATTTACAGTAAGACAATATTTATCACAAAAAGTGGCCAGCTTGTTCAAACAATTCTGTAGGCCTTTTGGAGAAGATGATAATAAAACAAGATCATCAGCATAGAGAAGACAACTAAGAGGTTCATTATTCAAATATACTTGATCATCTTCACTGTTAAACATATCTGGTAGTTCATTAATAAGGATTTTAAACAAGTTTGGGCTCAAATTATCCCCCTGCCTTACCCCTAATTCAGGGATGAAGCTTTTAGTAAGTTTATTACCAATTCGAATATGTAAATTATTTGAGGTATACATGCTCTTAATGACATAGTAAAAAGGACCTTTAATATCAATCTGAGATAGTCTATATAATAAGGCCGAGTGAAGTACTGTATCAAACGCTTTTGAAAAGTCAATAAAACAGGTGTACAATTTTGAGTTAGAGGAGTTATATTTTTGAATTAGTGTTTTCAGTACAAACATATGATCAGATGTTCTAGCCTTGGGTTGAAATCCTATTTGGCATTTATTGATAATTTTATGGTCATCTAGGTAAGTTTGAAGTCTTGCATTTAATATACTATTGAACACTTTGGAGAGACAAGACATAATTGCTAATCCTCTGTAATTTGAGGTGTCACATGGATCATCACATTTATATAATGGTTTTAAGTACCCAATTTTCCAATCAGAGGGATAAACTCCTGTAGAAAGAATTATATTAAATAGTTTTAACAAACATCCTACTATTTGGGATAATCCAGCTTTAATCATTTCATTTTTAATTCCATCAAGGCCAGCTGACTTGTTATTTTTAAGTTTAGTTACTGCATCAATTATCTCTTTTTCTGTAATTCTACAATCAAGGAGTGAAAAGGTTTTACTCTTTTGACTTTGATCACAAAGATTTCTAAAGTATAAGTCTTGTGGAGTAAACCTCTGATCTATTGAAAGTAGGTTTGAAAAATGAGATATCCATTTATCATGAGATATTCTTGTTGAAGGGTCTTGTTCGTCATTGTCTTCTTTTAATTCTTTGATTAATTTCCAGTATGAATTTGGATCCTTCGCATGCAATGTCTCTAAATTTTTCATAATACTTGCTTTAAATTCTCTTTGTTTATATTTGCATTGTTTATTATAATGTTTACGATACTTGAAGAAAGAACCTCTTATAATCGGATCAAAAGGATATTTAGAATACAATTTACTTTTATTTAATAATTCTAACTTCATCTTGTGTAAATCATAGTCAAACCATTTTTTATTTTTATAAATTTTGTCTTTTTTCACACCTACTTTAACCTTAAGGGATGTCTTTAACGATTTGTTGCATGCTGTTTTAATAATATCATTAAATCTCATTAATGCATGATCACTTCCAGATTTATGCTCGTTACAAGAGCTGTTTGAAGGATGGACAGATTTATAATTAATTATGTTTAAATCATCTTCCAAATATTCTTTTATCATTGTTTGCACTTCATTATTATTCAGCGCGGCTTGAAAATGTATAATAGATTCTTTATTCCATATATAAGAGGATGGAATTAATATGTTCGAGTTCGATACATGATTTTCTTTGCCAAACTCCTGAAAATTGGCTTTAATCTGGCATGTTAATTTTGCATGGTCTGAGAGAATTGGTATATGATCATGAATCATAAAATACAAAATGTTTTTGACAGTGAATTTGATATTATACAATAGTCAACGATACTTTACCATTGTATTGAAAACACGTAAACTTTCCACTTAAATCTCCAACAGTTCTCCCATTCAAAAAATGCAAATCATGGGATATACAAAAATCAATAAGATCTCTTCCCCTCTTATTAACAAAAGAATCATGACTAGATCTAACAGGCAAATGATAATCAACATGGTCAAATGAAGTTGGAACATAAGAATCAAAATCTTGGGTTTTCTATTTCAGTCCCGGTCCTTGCATTAAAATCCCCACATATTATAATATTCCCAATTTGGCTATATTCTGTGACATTATGTTCTAATATTTGTAAGACATCCAAATTGTTTCTTATGACATATGATGAATTAGAAGGGGCAAAGTTGTGAAACAAATGTAAAGATCCTTTTCAAAGCCAAAGAATTCCTTAGCTAATCTAATCCACTGTATTTCACTACTGGTATTTTTGATAATTTTGATTCCTGGCTTAATAGAGTTTTTCAACAAAATTATGATCCCCCCTGATACAGGATATTTTTCTTCTTTAGGGCGGGGAACTGGAAAAAGAGCTAAAATCTTGACCGAAGTCAAAGTGGTATCTTTACTATGTTTTGTTTCTAATATACCAAATATATCATATCTACTAATCTCTGCAAGGAAATATTTATCTCTCGATTTATTGTGAACTGAAGATTTCAGTTGATTTATATTCCAACTTCCAATCTTTAAAAGTTTTCGCATTATTCTAGACAATCAAGTTCTTCTCGGAGATTCTCGGAGAAAAGGAAAACACCTTGTTTGGACAAGTGCTTCTGGTCACGCAAGATGCC